ACCACCACTCTGGAGTTTCTTTTTAGATTCACCGAGAAGAGTTCAACGCTAATGGAACGAATGCAGAACGTACAGCAGCGCGACATTTATTGTGAATGCAGTAAAACAACCGCAAGCAAGCAGTGATTTGCAGCCTTTCATATGGTTACACAACAGCCAAACAGTAAGAAGCATAATCCTTACAACCCAAACAAAGTACAACATGAGACCCAGTCTCCCCAGTGGGAGTCCAAGTCAATGTTCTCACCCCATGCAGAGAGAGCTGGTAATATGTCTAATCTGCTCTACTACCGACTGGCTGGCTGGCTGGCTGGCTCAACAAACTCACACTTGGGTTTAAATATAATTTGCAGAAGTCTATTTTGAGAGCAGGAGAGCTACAGCGTGCCTTTAAGTTTAATTATTCAGTAGCGATATTTGTTATAGTAGATATAAGAACTGGTTCGATGGAGAAAGCACACAGCTCGATTTAGCCCCAAGAGTTAATGTACTTCAACAGTTCTTGAATACACTGACGGGTTTGTTTTGTTGTGTTTTTTTACTTTATTTGCAAGACACAGAGTTGGGTGACTTGCAGGCTAAACATATGCAATGAGTCAGGAACAGGAGAAGCATTAAAAAGGAAGATTTGGTTATAAAAGAAGTATTTCAGCTACAGAAAGGATGATGGTAGTCTGTCGACAGCATCTTGCATTTGCTGTCACTACAAGAGCCAACACATCTCATTTGTTTGAATATTTAAATCAGCACCACAAAGCTTTGTATGACGAGTGGAAAGCCAGATATGAGTGCCACACAAAGCAAAAAAATAATAATCATTTGGATGCCTTTGCCTGAGATACACCATGTGAGAAAGGTTTCAAACAGCTTCTTTCAGCCTAATTTAATTTCTTTTTATTTTCGATGCAGATGCACTTTCCTACAAAATCCCCTCAGTCATTCCAGGACGATTCATTCTTTTCAAACAGGGTTGCTCAAGTCATCTAGTGAAAATTTCCGATTATTTTCTTTCCCAGGTCACAACGTATATTACAGAAAACAAAATACTGCAACGTCAATTCTGCGCAGCCCCAGAAATGTAGACTTTTCTGAGCAGAAACGTCAGCTGCATGAAAGTTTAATTGGTGCTGCAGTACCAGACAAGAATGTAATCCAAAGATTTTGACATTTCAGCTGGTGTGTGACTACAGGCAATTTTAGCACAGCTGCGCATATATTGTATGTGCAAATAAAGAATACTGAATCTCGTATACTATTGCTGAAAGGTACAACGGCTGTGTGAGAATTGGACAGGGTATGAATGAGCCTGGCTTCTTCTACAGCACAAACAAATAGTAACAAAACAATTTTCAGCAATACTTTAAATGTAAATTCATATAACTTCAACTTTTTTTACTCTCTTGCGACATTGTGGAAAAACGTCTAGCTTCATGTAGCCAGTACCAATCAATCAAGAATTCCTTAATAGAATCTTTTCCTACACAGTGGCGCTGGATAATGGAGATGGAAATGAAAGACTGCTAACTGCAGCACTTTAGAGTACCGTCAAGGAACTCAGGCGATACATCTGCAAGACGTCAGTGAAATAGGCAAAATAAATAGAACCTTGTCAGCTGGCAGAGCAACAGGTGAGCTAAACTATTTATGTGTGCAGTGTATGACCTGAATCTAGAGGAACAGAACAGTAGCAGATAGTCTGCTCAGGCCACACAGGGGGTCCAAGGATGTGTGCACACTTGAAACAATAAGTTCATTGTCCCTCTGCGTCCCTGCAGTGGCATAATGAAAGAGGATTGGGCCTGTGCAGTCCTGTGAACTGTGGGACTATAGCCCCACAGTGCTATTCTGTTCGGATTCATGCACACACAGAGTCCTGGCAAACAAATGAGAGTGTGTAAAACCGGTCACGGGCTTCACAACATGTTTGGAGGTAGCAGTTCTGAGACCTCAAAGCTGAACAGAAGCAAAGGTGAAAAGAGACGCAACAAAGGCTGGTCCATAACAGAGCGCTGGCCATTATTGGTCGGGGCTGAACACATGGGATGATGGCAAAACGAGTGACAAAAGGTTAGCCATAACGGTGACAATAGTGGAACAACTGCTTGCTGGAAAGAGACAGAGGCTACATAACATGCTGTAGAGCCACTCTGCATTCCTGCACTAAGGTAAAGGCCTTCTGTTTTCAGCTTTAAGCCACCACCTGATATCTCCCCTCACACAGACCTGCTGTACGTTTTTCTAAATCATGACCCGTGTAATCTCCCTCTCCTCATTTACTCTTTTCCCACTCACTCATCCATGCAACACAGGCAACATAATGAGCAGCGGTTCCCACTGAAATGAGGCTAAATCTCTGCTACGCAGCCTGACTCAGGCTGCTCCAGTTTTCTGCAGGCTACTCCCACTCTCTCTATAGCATGCGGCGATGTTTGCTCCAACATTCTTCAAAAACGCTGCATGCTTATGACTGGGGGTTCGTTACAACCCTGAACTCAACCTCATTTCCTAGTGTTCACTTTACCGTTAGGCACAGAGGGAGGAGTTACATACTTCAGTAAAACCAGACATCATTAATCGCTGCTATTACACTAAGGTCAGTCTTTAATTAGGTGATACTGTTTGACCCCTGAGGGCAGAGTTCACAGCCGCAATCATTCCTCACATCAGTGCAGCACTCACATGTGCTGGGCCAGCAGATCACAGGGGTGATGACGATGCACTGACTCTTCTTGAATGAAACTGTATTTCAGGCCAAGTCCACACATCAGCAGGACTCATTTTTTCTATTACTGGGAGATCAATCTACAAATCGTTAGGCAGTCTGGGTAAAATGCAACATCTCAACTGAGGATATATTCATTTTGAGTATTAAAAAAAAGACCCGGAACACCTGGATTCATTAGCCCAATATTTCCTGACTGTAACAACATGTAGAATCCACAGTCTGTTATTGATATGCAGCAAATGTGGTATCAGATAATCACTTTGTCCTCAGTTAAATGGCTGATGGTGATAATGTAAACATATGATCAAGGTTCGCTTATAGACATACCCTGACATTTCCTGACAAGTCTAAGCCTACATTCAACCTCGGGCACTCCCAGGCACAAACATGCCATTCTCCATATTAGAAACAACTTTGGAGAAGCACATCTGGACTTAAAAGATAAAACCAAAGCCATTAACATCTAATTCATGAACATACTTTGTATTAAACTATACATACGTCACCGTGCCATCTTCACAGAAGCCATAAAAATCAACAAACATGTCAGTCTGGGCTGACTAAACAACAGTCTTGGTACAATGAATCCTGGGTACAGACTGAGACACTGGCTGAACCAGACTTACCACTTTGCAGACAAGAGTATTAGCATATGACTCCAGCTGAGGCACCACAGTAACGTGGGTGAGGATCATACACTGTGAGTGAAGATACACTTTACCCAAAGGAACACACTTCCTCTCACTGTGATTCCTATTCAGTAAATAGTTTTCAGTTCTCCACTAATAACGCCGTCTGTCAAAGACACATCAGGCAAACTTGGTCTCGCTTCTCTGCATTGAAGTGGGACATAATCTCGTCTAATTGAGGCTCGAGGGACGTCTGCTCCCGTGACTTGTGGCAGCATGCAAACATTCCATCACCACGTTAAAGTCACTGTGATCCAATCGGTTTCAGGAATCACAGGAATGTTACAAGCGAGCTGGACTTAAGTCCAACCTTGGAACAAACAGTCTGGACGCCTGTAGGGCAAACTGGGACTGGATGACCGGGGGGAAATATTGAATTGTAATCTTTCAGACAGACATTGCGATTCAGTTTGGGATAGATTTTCTTAACAGTCAAACTTCGGTTTAATGTTCAAGGTGTGATAGACAATGACCCTATGAGAGACCGTAAAAAGCGCAGCTGTCACACAAGGAGGACGGCATGAATGTGCAAAACCACTGACACACCAGCTTCAACCCTACAGGCTGCTTAACGTGCATCCTAAATTGCAGCTTTTGTCATGGGATAAAATCATTGCTAGAATTTAATTTCAATTAGAAATCAGTTAATTGTCCCGCCCCTGATCAGACTCCTCCATTTGGCAAGCTTGTGAATGAATCATGATGATTTTACAGATCTTTAGGGTAGGAGACCAAGTTAGGTTTGGATTCATCCCATACTAATTAAACATAATGACAACTAACTAAACAAATCAATCACTTCAACTGCTTCCTCTAAATCAGGAGATGGCAAACACTACTGAAACTGAAAACATATCAGTATTTTCAGTGCTGTCCTTCTGTCCTGCCACAGCAGCAGTTGTAACCCAGTCTTTGTTGTGAGGGTCAGCAGCTGAGGCAGGCTGCTGATCTGCAGCTAGCTCAGCTCCTTTCCACTGCACACTGACATCTAAGATTTAACCCGACTCTTCCCTTCATTCCTGCCACACCGGTAGAAGATAACGTTACTGCAGCCACAGTAATAAACGACAATAACATTTCCATCATCACGTTAGCGACAGTTTTCCTTCTATTTGGCACTTATAGCCACGCCCATGCTGTCTGGGATGCTAGCAGTGTTTATATCCGTTAGCCTGGCGGCGTTTCACGGCAGGACGTTACCGGCAGAGTGAGCAGAAAGCCCGCAGCACAATGTCCCTGTCAGTGGGACAAAGACACATCTGGAGGCGGCTCCACGCCCTGCCGTGTCCGCCCGCGTATCACCGGTAACAATGGTGACGCAAGCTTTGCGGCTAACCAGCCGGCTAACGTTAGCTCCCAAGTACAACAGTAAACAACAGGCCACGAATTACGGAGTCAGACCGCTCACCGTTACCGGAGCCACATCAACAGGTCTGCGAGAGGGAGTCAAAGCGCGAGCAGGTCGCACACGGAGGCAACCGGCAGCAAATCGGCGCGCATCTTATAAAACTGTTATCTGGTTACAACGGCTGGAGCAATGAGACCGACAGACACCTCCACCGGCTTAAAACCGCATAAATCCTTACCCGAAGTGAGATTGTGACTCCTGGCGAACCCGGGTTCTCCCCCCCGAGATCAAATCCGCCGTGTCATGGGTGTGTTTCTTAAAACGACGAGGGGAAAAGAGGATTAGCTGTGTAGTGTAACTCCGACGTCCCACACTGAGGAAAAAGGGAATGCAGGAATGTGACGTTCAGTCCGGTCCGCTGGCAGCGGTGACACGTGCACTCCAGAGCGGAGCACTGTGGGAAATGAAGTTTAGTTGAGTGAGACGCCATTTTTTTTTTTTAAACTCGGCTTTGATAGAGCACCGGGTGATACAATAGAATAAAATAAAGTTAAATTAATGTTTCCTTAAAATTAATTACATGTAATAGAAGACAATTAAGTTTATCTACCAGTTTAATTAGGTGAAATGCCTTAAGGAGCCACTTTCCCAAAAAGTTAATCTACATTTATTATCTAAACTCAAACAACTATCCTGCTTAGTCATGTAAATTATGTATTTTTTAAAATCTAATATTATTTATACTTTTTTTGTATTAATCATGAGAGTAAAGAAACATTTAGTTGGCCTAAACACCATTTTTAACAGAGGTAAACTACAAGATGACAATCACCACAACTACTACTAACTGTTAGCCTACTGCTAAAGCCAGCTTAACTAATTTCAGACTTTTATCTGCAAAACAAATGTTTAAGAAAATGTATGGCTATACTGAAAATTTTGAAATTAGAATATATTAAAAACTTTGTGATTCTTTCAAAGCTACTCATATCTGATACTATAAAGGTGTCTATTTGGTTGGGAGAACAAAAACAAAAACATGTAAATAAATAAAATGTAAGGAGAATGTACAAGGTGGCCATTTAAAAAACAAAAAAAAGATTTAATGTGACAATTGTTTTTATTTTTGTTTGCTTGTCCACTTTTTGGTTCTAATGACTGAAGCCATTGGCAGCAGCTATTGTTTGGTGTAACCTGTTCAGTTAGCAGAGGGCAATTTACTACTAATTAGCTGTTAATGAAGTAGTCTTGTAAATGCATGTGAGTCTTAGCATTATATACTTTTAGCTGCCTATTTTAGAAATAAAACTTAAAACCTTTATCATCACTATTTGTCGTTCTCCATGAAATGACTTTTATTTCCATGCATCCGTCAGTCCTAACAAGACTGTACAAACACTGCTGTATTGCCACTATCAAACAGGACTGCATAAACAGGCTATAAAAGCAACCCACAGAGTCTGATTACAAAGACAAATGACTGCAGGTCTTAGTGTGAACTTACTGTCTTTTTAGTGTAATCATGACCCCTTGTGGAAAATGAGAAAAATGCAGCTGAAGGAATCGACTCCTCCACTGTGTGTGATTCTGTAGCTAGTATGTGTACATATAATGAATATGTAACTATACCACAGAGACTCATCAGGGTCCTCACTCAATATGGCAGACAGCTGGAAGATAGAGCCCAGACAGATTGACTGACAAATAGATTTACATATAAGCAAGAAGCAGAGCTTTTATAGTCAGTTAAGAGACACAGAAAGCAGACATATGGAATAACAAAGAGAATCACACAAAGTAAAATTAACAGATGTACGAATGTGAAGCTGGACAGGTAGACAGACAGCCAAATGATAAAAGTTCCTTTCTGTTCCAGATGGTTGCAGAATATGTCACAGTCAGGGGCTAATTAACTACCATGGCGTGCTGGAGACTCCAGCAGGTCACTACACCCCCCAAACCCCCTTCTTCTTCTTCTTCTACTTCATCTCCTCCTTCTCCTCCGTCTCCTGTTCTTTCTCACTCGCTCTCCCACTTCTATGTCTATCCTTAGTCGTCCCATAATTACTTTGTTGTCCTCTTCACATCACCCACAGCACCGCAAGCTATTCAGCCTTCCATTCCCCTCCCATGCTGTTGTGAATTTTCTCTGTGCAGACGCTCCCTTTACACGGCCTCTTCTCACGGGTGCAAACCTATAGCTGTCTTCTTTTGATATCTGGAGAGAGTAAAACCTACGATAAGTCATCCCCAGATTTACGCTCGTTGTTCGTGAGCTGAGCGAAAATGTGAGAAAACTTATCCACGGTAAATTAACTTACTCTCTATCCTGATCGTGTTTTAAATCAGTGACTCTACTGAACATCAGACTCTTGTGAAGCTCAGGTGTAATTGTTGGGAAAACTCTAATTAATTTGCACTGTTGCCAAGGGAACCATAATTTTGAACTGCTATATAATTTCATTGTTCTAAAAATGTCTGCACGTGTTGCACGACGCACAGAACTTTTAAAAATAATAAATCATTATACACAAAAACGACATTATTTTTATTTAAATAATGTTAACTCACTTTCTGTCAACCTTTTGTACGTGAATTATATTTGTATTTTAAAATATAATGGTGTCAGTTATATTTCTTTGTACCAACAGCAGATGAGTTCATATTAATTTACATATAAGCACACACAGAGGGGGAGAAAGTCCCTCTTCTGTGGAAGTAGAAGTCACAATAATGCAGCATAAAATGTCACAGATACTAAATTTAGGTACAAAAGTATTAGTATGAAAATTTATAGTCATTGATGCATTAATGTGTGCATCATTTTAATACTGAAAATAGTAAAGTTGGTGATACATTTTAATGCTTCAGTATTTAAAACGAAGGAAAACATAGATAGATAGATAGATAGATAGATAGATAGATAGATAGATAGATAGATAGATAGATAGATAGATGAGGGTGCAAGAAAAAACAAAAAAACAGATGGTGCTGGTACAAGAAAAAAAAAAAGCAGGGTAATAAAAAGTACAACAATAAAAAAAAAAAAAGAGCGCAAGAAATAAAATGTGAACGTATATTTTAAAGCTGCTTTGATGGTACAGAAAATTCTATAGTGTGAGAGAAAGGGAGGCAAAAAAGCCGAAGCTGGCGTTGCTCCTCAGGTCGCCCTGTGCATAGCTGAATCCTCACCAGAGGGATGGTACCAAGGCACCAATTAGCAGCAGAGAGGGCGCATGATGATATTTCCGTGTGCTTGTGGCCGGGGCAGCTCCGTCTGTGTGTGTTATAAAAGGCAAAACCATAAACATGGAATTAGACAGTACAGGCCCCGCAGCTCTTAAGGTCACAGACTCTCCCCTCCTGCGGCTTCCGAGTGCAACGGTGTGATATAAACAACACTGGCCAGCAAACTGTTATTACTGTATGTACGGGGTTTTTTTTTTTTTTTTTTTTTACAAAAGGGCCGTGGATTATTTGCGCTTGTCGGTATGTGAAGTTCATTAGGGCCAGCCACCCTGATGCAGTGGTCTTCTGCAGCTCTGCTCTTTTATTGTTAGGTTGAATGGCTGCAGGAGATAGGTGTGGGAGAAAGATCACTGTGAACTAGATGGAGAGAAACTAAGTGGGTGGAAGTGACTGAACATCTCTTTGTGTAAAACGCACACACAGGCAACACGCACACACACGTACACACATTAGCACTCAGACACATAAACACACTGCGATTGGCCGGGGTTCAATTTGTTGAGTAACAAAAACATGATAGGTTTCTAACCAGCAGGTGGGGGCAGTAGACAGATCATAGGACTGAGCGGTGCTATTAAAATGTGCAGTAAGTCACAGATCTACTGTAACCTACATACACAGGGGGGTGGAAAGAAAAAATTATGAAATATTCTAATAAAGCCTATCATATTATCCCTGCGATAAGTCAGGCTGTTTTGCAACTGATAGTTAAATAAATCTCCAACAAAAATATAATACTGTGTGTCAGAAAATAATAATAATAAAATACCCACATTCTTTAAAATCCCTTAATAAGCAACATTTTGGTTCCTTGGGTGGAATAAATCCTTGGCAAACTGTACATCCCTTGAATCCTTGGGCAAACTCTTACTATTTTATCTGTGCACAAGCCTCATATCACAGTGACAGCGGCTACTTATTTTGTAACAGGAGAAACAGAGTGATTTTAGCCGAGAGAATAAATGTAACATTATCATGTTTGTGCCTCTGGATTTAAATGATAAAAGTTACCATATATATTTTTTAAAAAGATCAAAAACATAAATGTAGACGGATGAACAAATATTTTATTATTGATTTATCTGCTGTTTATTTTCTTGATTTGGCAAATAATTGTGTAATCTATACTATGTCAGGCATAAATGGGAAAAAAACACAATATACTGGATCATGACTACTGATTTATCCAAATTATAGTTTAAAAAAACCAAACAAATTAATTAAATGCAATGTAAGACCAGGGAAAGCAGCAAATTCTCACATTTTGGATATTGAAGATAATGTTTTTTTTGTTTGTTTTTTGCATTTTTATATAATGAATGATTAAAAATGGAAACTATTAAACTGTTTGCCTCATTTTCCACCAATCAGCGAATAAAGTAATTGTCTAAATATAGCGGCATGGGCGCTCATTGTCAGAAGAGTGACTTATTCAGTGATCTAAAATAAAACATATTTAAAGTTGCAGAACAACAACTGTTTGCTGTGCTTTGCCCTTCAGCCTCCTCCTCCAGAAGCAGAGGCCGAGGGGCTGCTCCGCTCACCCCCTCCTCTGTCCTGCCCTCAGCAGCCCGACACTCCCCCTGCTGCTGAACCGTGGTAGAGCGAGGACTGTCCGAGGAGCACGTTGACAGCTCTGGGCCGTGTGCGCCCGCCTGCATGTATGGTGAGCACCCGTTGAGTAGGTGGGTCTGCTGGAAGGGAGTGGGAGAGGTGGGAAAGGGGCAGATGGAACACAGAAGGAAGTTCACCAGCGACACATAGAGTGTCAGAAAGTAGAGAGGGACGGAGAGGGAGGGGATCGGAGAGGGAGCCGCCGCAGGGACAGTCATAGGTAGAGGAGGCAACAAAAAAAAAAAAAACAGAGAGAATGAGGGGACAGATATGCAGAGAGAAAAGGCAAGAGGGGTCGGCGGGTGGTAAAGAGAAAGTGGAGGAAAAGGTGGAGGGGGTTGGTGGAGCAGGAGAGGTGAGAGATGTGTCAGGTACCAGAGGGAGAGGTGAGAGAGCTGCGACAAGCAGCAGGGAGTTGGAGGGAGGGTGACAGGTAGGGATGGAGGGTGGAGGAGTTGGGGTTTGAGGGGGGGTGATAATGATAGCAGGTGCAAGAGGGTACAAG